AATACTTTTTTTTGTTTTTCTGCACTGTTTATTACGTTGCAAAATGAGTTAATCGGGAGTTCAAACAAATCAAAGAGTACTATCCAGTCTATTCCAAAAGACATGAATTAATCCCTTGGATTACATACACTTTCGTTTTTGCAGTCTTGCCACATAATGAAATATCGCACTTTAATTCTCCCTTAAAGTTTAATTTCTTTCCTGAAACCCCACTAGCGGTTTTTTTTTTGGTTTCAGATAATTTAGGTCTTCCAATATTTTTCCATGTTTGTTCATCAATGATGCTTATGTCTGAACCAGAATCCAATAGGAAAGTAATTGTATGATTATTTATACGTACATCTACGTACTTTCTATTTTTACCTTTCTGAATTTCTTTTTCTAATAATACCAGGCTTACATCTTGTAATTTCCTTTTCTTGCGGCAAACCGAATATTTATGCCCTTTATTTCTGCACGATTGACAGAATTTATTTTTGTACCAACACATGTCTTTGGTATGATTTTTATTTCCGCACGATTGGCAGAATTTATTTTTGTACCAACACGTGTCTTTGGTATGGTTATTTTTTCTACGCGTCTCACATTTTTCTATCTTTTTGGCTTTTGGAGTTTTTTGAGTTTTTACGTGTCGAACATTAGCAACACATTTTTCCTCAATTTGTATATTATCCCTTTTTACGTTTATGAGACGTTGGCATTCTTCGGTCACCCTTTGTAATGTTATTTTCGAGTCTTGCTCGACCATAATTAATATTCTCAACCTAATTTCTTTATATTTAGGATCAGTTAGTCCTTGAAGAAAAATTAGGCACTTGAATACATCTTTGGTTATTTCTTCTAACTTGAATTGTTCAACCAGAGAGTTCACTGTTCCCGCGTATGTCACAAAATGCTCGCTATCTGCTTTAACGATGTTTAGGCATCTGTATCGCATGTGGAACAGACTATTCCTTTCGTCAAATATTTTTGACAGAATACTTATAGTTTCTTCAAACGAAACTTCTTCTGGCTTTCTGGGCAATATCAAGTTTGCGTACTTCGTATTCTCGTTTGTCCCTAGTTTCTGGACTAATAATGTTACTCGTTCCTCATCCGACCAATGTTGACATCTCTTGGTAAATATAGTTTGGAAACGTTTAAAGTATGCTGGAAATGTAATGCCCGAATCAGGATCATAAATAAATTCGGATAATGAATTTGCTATTCCTTCGGCAGAAAAAACACTATTTTTGCTTTCTCCAGTCGCCTGTTTCAGAATTTTTTCGAGACTTTTTTTACTGTTGCAGTATTTGTTGTTGTAAGTCTTGATGCTGTTTTTGTTGCTGTTGTTGTAACTCTTGATGCTGTTGTTGTTGTTGTTGCAAGCTTGTACACAGCATTTTAGTCATTTCAACTAATTGCTCCATCCTGACTTTATTTGACTATTTTTTTTTTTTTTTTTTTTTTTAGACGGTTAACAGACAATTTACAGCCGTAATATTTTTTTACAACCCGTAATTTTTACTTGAATAATCAATTATTAGACCGGCTCGCATTTGAGTCACGGTTCAATATATATTTTTCAAATCACAATTTAACAGTAAAAATTTTCTTACTTTCCAAAAAGTTTCCTTTTGACTTGTGACTCCATTTTCCAAATCCTAATCGGTGTCAACAGATATCTTTGACTTGCAAATCTGCTTCCGAAATCCGTTCATATATATAATCTGATATATATATATATATATTTTTTTTTTCAGGTAAGTACGTTGCACAATCCTCGCCACCAGCTGTTATATCTCATGCAAGATATAATAAACAAAGTAAACCCGAGTGTTGGTTTTCAATAATAATTTTATAATCAGATGTAGGTATGTCAAAATACAGAGACAGAGCGGGAGTATGCTAACCTCAATCGGTGTTAACAAACGAGACCTTTTTCACTGTCCGCTGTGGTCGTACTTAATCGGCAACCAGTCCGTCCATTATCGTGAATGGGGAAGTTGGGTTATATCATCACAACATAAAGTGAAATCAGTACTGGCCAAATTAAACAGGAACAAATTAGCAAGTCCAGATGGGATTGTAATAGAGCCTCAGATGATTTCAGCATTGACAAAATTGCAGAAATAATAAATGATATATATCACAGTGGTGATATACTGGAAAGCTTAAGTAGATCCATTTTTATAGCACTGCTTAAAAAGCCAGACAGAAAATGAATACAAACTCAATAGTATATTCAGCAAAATGAGCCAGATAATGAAATTTATTTGAATTCTGAAGAATAAAGCTTGAACAGCAGAATTAGACTAGAAACAGGAGAACAGTGTTTTTTTGTTAAGAACATGAAACAAAAATGCAATATTTGTGCCTAGAATGATATCAGAAAGAGCAATACAAATGCAAAAGGATGTATACCTATGTTACATATCACTTGGGCCCGAATAAGTTTCAACCCCTCAAAATCAAGGTCGCTCATTTTAAGAAAAGGCAAAATATTAGACAAGGAGCGGTTTAGACTTTCCGGGAAAACATACCAACAACTCAAAAAGCCTATAAAGAGATTTGAAAAATATATTGATTTTAAGCTAAAAGATGCAACAGCAATCCAGGAAACAAAAAATAAACTAGAGATGTGGTTAAAGAGAGTTGATAAGTCTAGCTTGCCTGGCCACTTTAAAGCGTGGATTTATCAGCATGACATTTTTCCCAAAATCCTATGGCCATTGTCCATCTATGAATTCACAACTTCTTACAAAGAACAACTAGAAAAGAGAATTAACATACGATTACATAGATGGTTAGGTCTACTGAAAAGTTTGACTATTGCTGCCCTATATGGCAATTCCAATGCTTTGTAACTTCCTTTCAGAAGCCTAGTAGAGGAATTCAAAATCACCAAAGTTAGAACAACAATGCAGTACAAGTTCTCCAAAGATCCAAAGGTGGCAGGAGCAGGCATTGAAGTCTACTCAGGAAGGAAATGGAGACCAGAAAATGAATTACTGGTAGCTAAAGAATGACTTTGTGAAAAGGCTTTATTTGGGGCCATAGCTACAGGACACATGGGATTAGGGTATTTTCAATACCATTCAGATGGACAGAGCTAAAGGAAAAGTAAAGAGCCTCTTAACACAAGAAGAAATATGCAAATGTGAAGAGGAGAAAAGGTTGGCAAAAATGATGGGACTAAGCCAACTTTAAAACATATCCAAAGTAGCTGTCAGTACTAATGGAAGATCAGTAAAGATAGAGACATGATCAAATTTTAAAGGATCTAGCAGAGATAGAATGACCATCAGCACTTTAAATCTCAATAAAAGAACTATAATTTCTTAAAGCCGGTGATAAACCTATCAAAAAGAAAAAAGTACATAGCAAATACTTTGTCATTGGTAGCAGACTGGGAATTAAGGGCTGACTTAGGAACAAGACTAAAATTCCTTGACCACATTGTTCAAACCTCATTACGCCCAGATATAGTATTCTTCTCAGATAATATAAAGAAAGTAATAATGTGTGAATTGGCAGTACCTTGGGAAGAGCATGTAGAGGAAGCCCATGAACAGAAGAAACTAAAATATGATGAGTTACAAATGAGTTGTAAAAACAATGGATGTAAAACAAGCTGTCTGCCAAGTGAAGTGGGTGCAAGAGGTTTTGCTGCAAGAAATGTAGTTCTACAGAAAGATGCTGAGAATATCATAGACCAAACGTGTGAGTAAAAAGAAAGTTTTAGGGAAAAGGGAAACAAATAGAACACTTATAATTAGAATCAGAAAGAGACAATTGAAATTCCTAGGACACACAATGAGGACACAATGAGAATTTGACACTTACAATGATATATTGAAGGCAAGAGGAACAAAGGAAAGCTACTAATGAGTGTATGTAAATGGTTGGCAGAACAGGGCTTATGTATGTATATATATCTGGCCACTCATATTCGAGTATACCTATCTACTAGGGTGGCTAGCCAATCCCTATTGCAGACACTTGCTCAGGCACATTTGTGTTTATTCCATACCCACAGAGCCCACCTGTGGTTTATACTGAAATTATGCTGAGCAGACCTTAGTTACAGTTTCTGGGAAAGAGCGTATTATCTAGTGTGATCAACAATTTGAACAAGGCCAGCACACTCAAGCCCTCGGCCATAATGACTTGTGACTTCTTGCTAGCACGGCTATCAATGGGCCCAAGGGTTCTGTCTATCCAGTTTTACTCACAAGGCTTGGGTCAACCTGTGGTATGGTTTTCAGGCACTTTCCAAAGGTGCCGCACGCTGGGATTGACCCCTCCAGTCCAATAACATCAGGAAGTCACCTTCCTGACAAATTGACCATGGTGAGATTCGAATCCAGGTCTCATGGCCAGAATGTGAACCTTCTAACCACTTGGCCACATGCCCATACAGGGCTTAGGAGAGATAGTAAAAAGACAAACCTTACTTAGTTCTACAAAGGACAGAAGGTTGTGGAGAGCCATGATTGCCCACATCCTGAGGGAGCACATCATATAGAAGAAGTCTGCAAATACAACTATTAAAAATTTTCAAAAATGCCAAAAAGAAAATACCTTATAAGTTCAAATAGTAATTGCAGGTAATTCTGCTAAGAGGAATTTTAGTGAAAACACTTGTAATTCAACTAATGTATTTAAAAGTTTTTTTTTTTTTTTTTCAGAATTTGCTGAATTATCTGATCAAATGTATTTAGTCTTAAATTTGCATTTTAAATTTCTGCTCTCAAGATCAAATATAATTTGAAATTTTATGTCTTACAAAAACAAGGTAGAAAATTGCAGAACCATTAGAAATCTAAAACATATTTGTGGAATGATATTTCAAAATTGTTTATTAATCATGAGTATTATCTTCTCATTAAAATCTATCAAAATTGGTTATATTTGTCATGGAAGAAATGTAAATTGTATTTAATTGGAACCATTCAAACAGTAGCTTTGATGGAAGAAATGCTGCTTTCTAGAATAATTATGCATTTTTTTGCTTTCAGTGGACCTCCTGAGAAACATGCAGAATTTGCAGAGAAGTATGTTAAATCCTTAAAAGTGGCTCAGAAGGTATTTATCTTAATATGTATATGGAAAAATGAGTACATAATCACTAAAATAACAAACTTGGTAAATTAGTTGATCAAGCTATGACAAAAATGGATTGAAACAGATCCAACCAAAATTCAAATCTGTAAAAAAATTCAAAGCTGATCACATGATTATGCATTTGATTCATGGACCAATTCAGTGATCTACTTGATCCTAATAAATATGTCTAAAGTAGATACCTCCACTGAATTTTCTATACCTAAGGTTTAAAATGAATTTTTAAAAATGAAAAAGCATTCTTAAAGATTTCATTTTAGCTTTAATTGAAAGCTAAATAATTAAATTTACTATTTCCACTAAGTAAAATATTCTGTTGTATTTCAAATAGAAATCATACAGATTGGAATGTCAATTATTTGCTCGCTTTCAAAAAATCTTCTTACAAGCAGCCATTTTCTTAATTTTAAGAAATTTGTAAACAAAACAAAATTATCAGTTTTAAAAAATCTTCCAAAAATAAAATATATATTTGTGACATGTTATTTAAGTAAAATTAGCAAATTTAAAGTTAATCTGATTTGTAATAAACATTACTTACTTATAGCCTAAAAAAGTAATATACAAGCATTTCTTAATGATGGGTCCTGTTTTTCTTTTATCTTTATTGACATATCGATAAGTTCCAAGGTGATGACAGCTAGCATGAATGACCAGAATTGACAAATTTATGAAATCTAAGTGAATACATTTTTTTTGTTTTTAACTACCTTATAATTTTTACAAATTAAAATATTTTCAGCAATTATCTAATATTTTATTGACTTTTAGTTACATTTGAAGATGCTTTATGAAAATATAATAAAATTTAAAATACTATAAAATTTTCTTAAATTAATCTTAAAATTTAATAACAGATGAAATTAAAATAAAGATATGTAAACAAGAAAATTAACACATTGATCTGGAAATTTTTTATAATTAAAGTATTCTAATAACAGTCAATAAGCTTTAATTAACATTAGCTAAAAAACGTTTTTTCTATTTTCTTCAAAAAAATTGTGAACACACCATTGAAAACTATTCAAAATTTAATTATTTTTATACTTTATTTCATTCATATTTGAAATTAGTTTTCTCATTTTTTTTATTAAAGTATAAAAATAATTAAATTTATTAAACATTAGTTTTAAAATTATATAAAACATCTTTAACAAAATAACTATCATTAAAAAGAACAAACTTAAAAGAAAGTAAAAACACTACTAACAAACAAAATTTTTGATTCTTCTTAAAAAAAGTTAAACTAAAACAAAAATATTTACTAATGTAAATACATAAAATAAAAATATTTAGCAAAACAGAAATTGAAAAAAGTAAAGCTTATTTTAAAGTTTTAAAGCTGAAGGGATGATGTTGAAAACCTGTTGAAATGTAAGTACTAATAAATAACAAATTCTCTCTATAAAGGGAGAAATCTCTTAGAGCAGATGACTTTTAATAATAATGCCATGTTTAGGCTACCATAGATGAAAAAAGGGAATGATTAAAGTAAAAAAATAAAAAATTATTTAAAAAATATAATAGTATAATGACGTTTATTAAGCTTTTCAATTTTGGATTTGTAAATTTCGTTTCCACTTAATTACAATATCACAAAAGAAGAAAGTAATACAGAATTTTAAACAATTTTTAAATTAGTATAAATTATAATAATTAAAATTTGAAAAAATGAAAAAATTTCTTTTTTTCTAATTAAATAATTATTTTGTACATTATTTTATTCATCAAAAAGAAAATTAGTGTCCTTAAAAAAAATGAAAGAAAATTAATTTTTTAAAAATTTTGAAATTAAAATTAAACAATGTAAAAAAAGTTTTTTACAAGATTTTTAGTTTAAATAATTTCATTTTTAAATTACATGATTTATTTTTTATTTATTTTTTATTTCAAAGTTTTGATTCCTACTTTAAACTAATAAAAAATTTGGAAAGAAAAATTTTGGTTTTCATAAGTAAAAAAAATAAAAAAAAAAATTTTTACCAAGATTTTCTAAAAGAAAAAATTCAAAATAATTTTAAAATGTCAATTATTTGATTTTTACATGAATTTCCAAATTAATGTGTTTTTCACTGGAAAAATGCGCAATAAACACACACTATAAAAATTACACCTGGCACTGACATAAAAAAAACAAGATTTTGAATATGTTAGAAAAGGTTAAAAATTTTTTTAAAATAATTAAAAAATACTTTTGTAGCGATACTGGCAAATTAATACGCCTAATGTGCAAGAGAAAGCCTATATAACTGAGAATAATATAGGAGGAGGACAAGCTTAGCGACTGACTAGTGCTAAACTTCTACTTCACATCAATGGCGTCACCGATAGGATCGCATTTGTCTCTAGAAGATTCAGATTATGTGGATGCATGGATTCGCTGTTTTTCTGCCAGTGCGAGAAGTAAAAAGCTGAAGGACAAGGAGAAGGGAGGCGAAAATGAAATTACAGATTTATTTTTGGCTACAGCTGGATGCGAGGTGATAATGAAAGTCTCCACCATGGCATATCCCATAAACTTGGAAGACCTGACTTTCGAAAAAAATAAGTCAGATTATAAGGAGAAATATGAGACCCAAGAAAAGGCTGGTAGTGGCAGAGAGAATGAAGTTCATGTCGATGAAACAAGAAATTGACGAACCAATTATAAAATATCTACACCATCTACGAAATTCAAGTAGATATTGCGAATTTGAAAAAACGGACAAGACAAACAGACTATTGAAGAGGACTTAATTCAATTAAGGTTAATTGAAGGTATGTGCAATGCATCACACCGATATAAAATAATGGAACAACTACAAATAGGAAATATGTCTTTAAATACATGCAATGAATTTATACAGCAACAAGAATTAATACAGAAATACAACCATCATAAAAGTCAAAACAGCGAACAAATATTCGCTGATACATACATGTTAAAAATGATAAGAAAATGTTCATATTGTGGACGTGAACACGAAATAAAAAGGGAGAAATGCTAAGCATTTGGAAAAACCTGTACAAATTGTTTAAAAAAGAACCACTTTCAAGCAGTATGCAAATTCAAAAAGAAAAACGTTGAAAGAGTTGAAGAAAACAAAACCAATATGGAAGTCTTCACATTAAAAAATAAGAATATAGAAAAAATTGAACAAAAGAAAAAAGACATTATACTAAAGGTTAAAATCAACAACTGCAATTTAGATATGCAAATTGATACGGGGAGTGAAGTAACGCTGATACCAAGAAATTTTTGGAAACGCATTGGAAAGCCACCTTTATGAAAGAGCAGTTTACAACTCCGCCAATTTGATGGGTCAGTCATAAAAACTTTAGGATACTTTGAAGGTTCCTTGGAGTTAGAAGATAAATTTGAAGTAATACCTATAATTGTCACAAGTTGTAAAAAGAACCACAGACTTTTTGGAAATGACGTGCTTAACATAAATTCTACCAAATTAATTAATGAGATAAAAATGGAAAAAACCGGAAAGTTAAAAAACTATAAAGCAAGTTTAAAATTAAAAGAAAATGTCTCCCCCTCTTATTATGAGGAACAAAAATTACTAGTACATTTGTTGCCATTAGTAGTAACAAAACTATGAAAATTAATAGAACAAGACCTTCTTGAACATGTTTCCCCTGGGGGTAGCAAGTGGGCATCACCCATTGTAGTTTTGAGGAAGACAGATGGTGATTTACGTATTTGTGGAGATTACAAAATAGGCGTAAATCACAAAGTTTGTTCGGATTCATATCCTATACTGAATGTTGAAGTTGCATTACATGCACTGGAAGGAATGAGCGTTTTTACAAAAATAGATTTAAAAACGGCATACCACCAAATACCAATAGACGATAACTTCAAAGAAGTAACCACGATAAATACACCAATAGAGTTACTAAGATGGAAAAGAATAAAAACCGCAAGTGCCATATTTCAAAGGGCCATCGAACAGGTTTTAGAAAATATGAAAAATATGATTTGTTACCAAGACGATATATGCATAGGAGCTACTAATGAAAATGAATTAAAAAAGAAAACCGACATAATCTTGAATAGATTAAGAAATGCTGGAATGACAATAAATGAGGAAAAATGCATAAGCAATTGTAGTAAAATATTTTTTTTAGGTTATTCCATTTCAAAAGAAGGTATATCACAAGACCAAGCCTTGATAAAAAAATATTTAAAAATAGCTACACCTACAAATAAAAAGGAACTGGAGTCTTTTTTGGGATTGGTGAATTTTTACAGGTGATATTTACCAAAATACACGGACTTGACTGAACCGTTTGCAAATTTAAGAAAAAAGAATGTTGAATTTATTTGGTCAGAGGAACAACAAAAAGTTTTTGATAGATTAAAAGTAATTATGGCAAAGAAACCAGTAGTGAAAATGTTTGATCCAAAAAAGGACATTACATTAACCACAGATGCAAGCGAACATTCGATATTGGGAATATTATCACAAGAAGGACATCCGATAATGTATTTATCAAGAAGACTAACAAACACCGAATTTAATTATTCAAATATAGAGAAAGAAGCATTGGCTATTGTGTGGACAACTACTAGAGCCTGAGAATTTTTAATTGGGAAAACATTTCTGTTAAGAAGTGATCATAGACCATTACAGTTTATATTTAACCCAAGGAAAGAATTACTCAAAATCATGCCATCGAAGATACTAAGATGGGCAATAAGATTGATGGCATTTGACTTTGATATAGAATATGTCAAACGAAATTCAATTCCACACGTAGATGCACTATCAAGATTGTGATTTTACAAAGAGTCAAAAGATAAAACAGAAGAAGAATTTGAAGATGCATTCTTACATTGGGTAGAGACTGATGTTTTGTCTTTAGATAGAATGGCTGTGGAAACTAGACATGATCCAGTACTAAGTAGGATAATATCGAGAATAAGAAAAAACTCATGGGGAAATTGTTCTAGGGCGGAAAGACCCTAC